ATAAAGAGAATTCTAGTGAGAGGTTAAGGTATCTTCTAGAGTGAGAAAGTGCAAATCAAAGGAGGAAGAAGGAGCTTTGGGCTTGTTCCTAGCTAGAGGATTAAAGATTTCTTCATCTAAAGGGTGTCTCAAGCAACAAGGGGGAATGATTGGCATCACTTCATGGTTCCTTCATCCCCTTTTGTTGTTTTCTCTTGCTTAGCTATGGAATAGCCTACCTACTCACTTGGGTATTGTGAATCCTAGTCTCTTTATGTGTTAGGATGTAAGAAAATGAACCTATTGTGTTGATAGAGTGTTTTATATGATATTTGAGATATTATTCATGAATGATTGAGTTGGCTAGCTTTAACTCAATATCAGGTAAAATTGACCTAGAGGGTGGAAATCCCCCTTTTGGTCCAATAGGAAGCTAGACTTCTTAGCCACTTGGGTAACCTCCTTTCGGTCGATTTAAGACCAAAATCTCAAGTGTCAGAGTAGGGCCGTGATTCCACCGGGATTGGTTTCTTCGCCGACCGGATTAAGTTCCGAGGGTTTGGGTTGCAATCCTTAGTCGGCTAGTTGAGAGGGTTAGGTTTCCTAGCCTATCGTTGTCACCCTTAGCCGAAAGGTTAAGAGAATTAGCTTTCTAACTTGTTGCAACGATTCTCAATTAGCTAACTAAGAGAGTTAGGGATCTCCTTGGTTGATCGGTAAGGATGGCTAGGTTCCCTAGGTATGAATCGCAATCCTTGACCTAACGGTTAATAGAGCTAGTTCCCCTTGATTATAGTTGTTGATTTTCCTTCATCAATCGACTAAGGGAGTTTGTTCCTAGCTAGTTGCACCCACCTTGCAATGTATGAACACTTCCTTCACACTAGAGCTTTGTTTGTCGCTTCTTAGCATGAGTCCATGGGGGAGCAATACCCAGGTGCAGTCCTTTCAAGTAGAATTCTCCTCCATTTACTTTCCTTGCTTGTTTAGTTTGTAGTTTTCTTAGTTTTAAACCCAAAACTGTTTTGCTAGATAACAACTTAAGCGATTGAAGTAGGGGTACATGAACCGGCCCGGGTTTGACAATTAAATACTTACCCTATACTGCACCCGACTAGAGTTTAAAAACTTTGGCTCTAGTCGGGATTAATTCGCGGTGTAGTTCCGAGCAAGTCAGTGACCTCAAATGTCGTTTGTGGTGGATGTCGGTATTGCTTGCAACGGTAATTACCAATAGCCATTGAGATTCACCACTTTGTGCCCTTTGATTTGCCCCCAAAGCATTTTGTTAGGTTGAGATATTACCTTGTGTGAAATGGTTTGCTTGGGGACAAGCAAACGTCTAAGTGTGGGGGAGTGATTTGGGTTTAATTGTACACTTTTTATCCCCATTTCTCTTTGACGTTTGTTGCAATTGAGCTCCAAAATGGGTGGTTTACGCTAGGTTTCTTGTTTTTCATTGTTTTTCAGATTCTAGCAAATGAAACCAACCCCGGAGTCGAAAGTTGGAAGAAAAGGAGCAAAGACCGGGCAAAGAGGAGGAGACAGCCTATGTTCACGGTCTCCAGGATCGTGAACTAGAACCACAACCCGTGAACCAAAGAGCGTCTAGAGAGGGTTTAGAGGTTATTGACGCCAAGGCTATTCACGGTCGCTAAGACAGTGAACTGCAACCACAAACCGTGAACCCAGGAAGTGAAGCGGTGCATTTTGGTTCAGCACGCTATTGGGGTTGTCTATCGTCTGATATGTAATATATAAAGAGGCAAATTCTAAGAACCTGCTATTTATTTCTTATCCTCTCCCGTCGCCCCATTTATGGAGAATAAAAGGGTAGGGATGACAGGATAATAGCTCGATATGGTTTTATTTTGTTCATCGTATCGGAGGTTCTGTTCTTTTTTTATTTTTTGGGCTTCTTTTCATTCTTCTTTGGCACCTATGGTTGTTATCAGAGGTATTTAGCCCCCGAAAAGGGTTGGGATTTTAGGTCCTTTGGAAATTCAATACACATTCATGATCCTCAAGTTTGGACGAACTCTCGACCAATGTTGTAAAGATTAGGACTTTTTAGTGAGAAATTCTTAGTAAAGATACTTCATTATTGGATCAATTTATTCATCCATATTGAAACTTGACACACACCGTAGCCCTCGTGATGATTAAATTCTATAATCTCGACTTATTTCCATTTTGGATGTTGGGTTTTTTATGAAGACACTTAAATTTAGTATATTATACAATATGTATCAATTGTTAATTTTTGAAGTTCAACTCGTGGTCATTGTTTATATGTTGGCTAAGAATCTCAATCTAAGACACTCGCACACACTATCGAGGATTTTGGTCTTAACATGGTCGTTGAATGTGTAATTTTCAAAGATTTTATCACTTATATATTAATATTTGATAAATAGCGTCTACAATACACACATATTTCAAGTGCATTTAGAATGTCTTATCATTTGAACAATATCGGTGGATTTCATTTGATTACTTGCATTAACTTATTATTTATAAAAAATATATCAATTCGTGTTTCTCGAGTTTGGACGAACTGGCAACCAATTTTGAGAGTTGAGATTACTGGATAAAGATACTTGATTGTTTGATAAATATGTTTATCCCAATTAACTATCTTACTAAAAATTGCCAACCTTTATTTGATAAATGTCTAGGTTAGTAGTTGATGAAACGCGATGTTTATCGTAGATTCTCAACAAAGATTCTCTAACCTTCCTTTATGTTATTTTTCAAGGAATCTTGTCTCTCATCCTAGGGTATGGAGTCAAAGTACGTCAACAATCATACTTGAGTCATTTTGAAAATTTTGATTTATAATCGTTGACGATAACTCCAAGTCTGAAAGAAAATTTCTTAGCATACGACTTAGGACCTCAATAGAGTTTGCTCAATCAACATGATATAGAACAAATATTATTAATATGAACTTAGGACACATTATAAAATTATTGCACATGCGATTTCTTCTCTTCATTTGAGGAGTTTAAGGTAGAACATGATCTGAGGAATAAGAAGTCTTTCTTAAATAAATAACTATAACTACTTGATCAAGATTATATTCTGACATTTTTCTAAATAATACTTATTATATTTTATAGACATATAATTTACGAATAAGAGAGTGTTTCATTGCAATAAAATATAAAGTAATATAGTTTATTTTTCATAGGTAATTCAATGTCACATGTTTATTTTCTCTCTTTTCATATAAATTTTGTTTAATCGAAAAAACCATTATTGTTTATGTGTGTGTTTGTTTAATTTTTCATCAAAATGTAGCTTATCATTCAATTTTAGTAAAAATGAGTAAAAAATTTATTTCATAAGGTTTAATCAGATATTTTTTATTTAAACAAATGTAGCATATGTTACTTTCTGTTTTCTTATTTATATTTTTTTACTAGACAAAAAATTTATTATTTATGCGTGTTTGGTTAAATTTATCAACATCTAACATATTATTAAAGCAAAAACAAAAGGATAAAAGAAATAGAAATATTAAAGAAGAGAGAGGTAGCTCCATAAATACATTAATAACTAATTTTTTGTTTGTAAAAAAAGTTGTCCAACTTGGCAAATTGTGGATCCTCCAAGTGCTTATGTGGCAAGAGGTTGCATTTGAATTGCCATAATATATAGTATATAGATATAGATATAGATATAGATATAGATAGATAGAGATAGATAGATAGAGACAAAAGCCAATCATTGTTATAACTAAAAGGGTAAATACAATATGGTTGCCAAAACTTTTGTGACATGAGCTAATTATTCGTCAAACAACTTGAAAATAAAAAAATATATATTAGTCAATCTGTTTATCAAATTTGAGTTGTTCATATGTTACCGTAAACGACATTCCATATTAGAGCCCAGTCAAATTCCAGAAAAGCGAGTTAATTTCTTTTCTGAATAAATACAGTTTATTAGCAAGAATCCTCCTTTGTCTGTTGTGGGTTGAAGACTCCTTCTTCTTCCACTTCTTCTAACTCAACTATAATCATAATCGATTAGTTGATTATTGATTAATCCTTAATGGGGGGTGTTGGTCAGTTTCGATCATTTTAACAACACAACCAATGAGTCACAGGTTGAATTATGGTAAACCCAAACCCAACCATTAATTTCAAAATCATACACTTACTTGCCCAAAAGGCTATCTGATCCGATCAACTGCCTAAGCCATTGCGCGCCTACTCTTCCTCTATCTTTGAAAGAAACTTTATCGAGATCTCCCCAACATACTGAATGATGAACTTTGCGCCTTCAGCGGGGTTTCTTAAGTCACAGTTTGGATCGGGTTAGATGGAAATCCAAACCATTATACGAGAATAAATTTTATAATTTTCATAATTTAATTCAAAGAATAATACATATATGACATTATGAAACAAAGAAAAAAATTAAAAATTATCATAGTAAAATTTGCATTCTTACTAGACAAATACAATAATTCAAATAATATTTCATTGAAGTGAACAATTTAATGAATAATAGACTTTACAATTTATAAATACTATCTAGGCAAATGACATGTGTAACAATTAACCTAAGAGATTTTTTATAAGAGGATTTTATATATAAGACATAAGAATTTGATGTATAATGTAGTATCACCGGTCAATTTGGGTGCTCTTGATTTGTAATCATAAAAACCGCACTCAACCACAATGTTATGGTTTTTGAAATTTCAAATCCGCATACAACCATAAAATTGGATTTTCTTGGATATTATGGGTGGGTCGATTTGAGTTTTCTGACAGTTGGATTCGTTTTCGATTTTGTTTATTCACCCCTCATCGTTAACCATTTTTTTTACTACGGGAAATTGAACCATTTAGATAATCGACTATCAATTAAACCATATTTGATAATTAATTAAACTTTTAACCGAAACCGATTATCGGATCTAAGTTACTTTAAGATTAAAATACATTGTATACTCTTAATTGAATTGATGCACTGTAACATCATTGTATAAACTTAATATTATTGGATCTCCATAATTAAAATAATTGACACAAATGAAAACCGTAGAACATGTTTTGGCTTTTTAGTATTTTCATAGGGCAATGTATTGCCATAAAAAAAGAAACGTAAAGAGGAAAGACAACCGACAATTGGCGGTTGATTGACAACGGCACGGGTGCATCCCGGGACTGTAGAATTCGCCATCTCTATCGATAGACTGGTAATTAATGAAGTAATTTATTAATTGATCTCCAAAAGGCAGGAAATAGGTGGTGGGACGGTCGGTCGGTCGGTCATGCAGTGGTGTTTGTGGAGAGACGACCTTGTTCCAGGAGCGATGCCACACAATCGTCAAACATTTCTTCAATTGTCTTGAAGTTGAATCCCAATCCTCTCACCTTGGAGGTATCCAGCTCATAGTATGGCCTGCCCAGCTCTACAAACCTGAATCAACAAATAATTTCATACACTACTTTCAGTACATTGCGGCCATTGCAAACAACTTTTTTTTTTTTGTTTTTTTTTTTGTGTGTGTGGAGTTTTTCAACAAATTAATTTAACGAGTAAGTAGAAACCTGTTAGGGATGTGAAAGGATGGATAGCGTGCAGAAAGAATGGATGCCAATTCGTTATTGTCCACTACACTGGAACTGCAAAGATATCTCCCCGTGGCAGCTTTGGTCTCGAACACAAGGATGTGACAGAGTGCAACATCGTCGATATGAACGTATCCCATCCTTCCATGCCACTGGAACTTGTCCACTTGGCCTGCGCCCCGAAAAACAAAACCAAACAAATAGTATTTAGATAGTGAGGGATGCAGTAGAGAAACGCAGGTGAGTTATAAATGTAGATGAACCTTTGAAGAGGCCAAGGACATCAGATGCAGTAGAACATAAATCTGGCGGCAAGCTAGGCCCGATGACGAAAGATGGCAGAACAGTGACCAGATCGATCCCATTCTCTTTGCAGAACTTCCATGCTGTCTTCTCCGCCAACACTTTGGACAGACAATACCATAGCTGCATGCCCATCATGCAAAAGTTCAAAACTACTGGTGTATATGCACGCATGCATGTATCTAGCTAGTATGAAGATTGCATACCTGCAATCTTTCACACAGTTCCTCGGAGCTCCAATACGACTCGTCAATAGAGTGATTGGGATTGAAATGTTCCCTTACCCTCACAGTTGACGAGGAGGAGGTTAGAACCACGCGTCTCATCAATGGGTTCTTCTTGCAAGAATGTAACACGTTGAGTGTACCTTTGATAGCCGGTTCCAATATTTCTACCTGTACGCACAAACGTACTAGTAGTTGCAAGATAAATGGAATAGTAATAATCATATTTATATGTATATCTAATCTTTAGAAATTCTAAAGCAAGCATGCCTTGGGATCATGTGAAGGCATTAACACAGGAGAAGCAGTGTGGAAGACACCATGACATCCCATGATTGCTTCATCAAAACTGCCTTCTTCCATCAGGTCGCCCTTCATCAACTGGAGCCTCTCTTTGGCTCCTTCAAGCTTCCACAAATGTTCTGTCTTCTTCTCGTTTCCTATATATAGTTAATTCATCAAGAAATTTATGTAAAATAATTTATTTACGTCTGTATACTTGAAAATTGAAATGGAAAAAGAAAGAAATAAATAAGAGCGCGAACCGGGATCTCGAATAGTTCCCACAACATGGTATCCTGCCAAGAGGAGGCGCTTGATCAACCATGAAGCTAAGAACCCAGAAGCCCCTGTGACACAAACTATGCCCTTGCTTTCACCATCCATTTCTTCCACGCTAGCTAGCTATTACTATTACTATTACTTCCTTTTATTATGCCTTTGGTTGTCTGTCCTAATGCACCCCAACTTTGTTATTTGTATAGCGCGCATCAAATGTATGTGTAGGTTGGCCACTCAACATTCATGGACTGCTTAACTTTGCAATTAGTTGGTGCTTAATTAGGTTGTTCATTCCAAGCTAATGAACAAGTTTTAATTTATGCTAAACACCCTCCTACTTACATCCAACATCTCACAAGTTTGTTAAGTAGTAATTGCGACTATTAATTAGTAGGGGGCCAAAGCTCGAATAGGAGTGAGACTTTTGTTAGGTTTTATTATTTTTATCAACTGGGGCATTATTAATTATGAGTTTGGGTTAGGCCATTTGGGAGACATTAGTATTAGGCATTGGAAAATTGTTGCAACAATTTGGAATTTGCTTACACATGCATTTATACTTTCTCCTTCAATGGAAAATATTTCACTTAGCTTCGTCCTTTCATTTAATAAATATCAAGTGAGTAGCAAAATAAACAGGGTATAGTGGGACGGATTCAAATTGTCATTAGGGACCACATGAAAATTTGAGCAATGTAAGAGTGTATATTAAAGGAGGCTTGACAGACATTAGAGAAATAAAGATGGTTGAAACTTGAAACTACTATGCTGCAACCATTTGAATGGATAATAAGAAAAATAGATATTTCAAAAACTATGGATCATATTCGATTGAGAAATTCATGGTATGTATTATATGGTGTATTGATCTTTTAATTTGTTCTGATCTAGTTTAGACAACGGTTTATCATATCAAATTGTGGATTCATTCCACTTCCCAATTCGTGTCAGCAGCTTACTCGAGCACTCTCCCAACTTTTCAACGAGATCCAAGTCTCAACGTTGATTTTGTGAACTCCGTCCGTCCCTTTATTCGTAAACCACACTCCGCCATAGAGTAGAGACGATCGTGTTCCCATATAAAATTTTCATGTTTATGATGTTACGATGCAAATTGGATTGCTCTAACTTTGTGCTTTTTGCTATTTACTTGGATTTATGTTATCAAAATTATGCATGCTCATTTGAGTTTGTATTTTAAGGAAAATACATATTTTTTTCTTGATTATTGGTTAGACTTTCGTGTGGATCGTGTAGTATTTGAGCTAGTCCCTAGTCAATCCTACAGCTTTCCTGTCTGAACCATAGACCGAATATATTATCTAGTCAAGACCAAACCACACTATTTTCCAGTCCTATACAATACTGGTTAAGTATTGATAAAATCAATGGTCCAACACAACCCTTTAATTTGCGTATGGAGTTTGTGTTATGAGACGAGCTATCGTGATAATTCAGTATTTTTTAGGCTCATATATTTTTGGCAGTTTACTTAATTTTTTATTATTATTCGGGATTTCCAATTTGTGTTAGAAATCAATAAATCTTCTAACACTACAACATACCAGTATTTACAAGTAATCTACACTTGTATGACAAATCAATAAATACAAAGTATACAAACAATAACCTTATAATTACAAATCACACTGATATTATATACAAATAATACGGCTAAATTAACCCTAAGGATTGGCCTAGTCGTAATGTGGGGATGAGTACACTCACCACACTCTGGGTTCGAATCTTGGGGTCAACAATCAACGTAAAAAAGTACGGTTAAATTACACGTTCAATCACTTAGATTTTTTTTTGGTTAATATTTCGTATGGCCTGAACTTTGACCAAAATAAACATCCTGGCCAATCTTTTCGATCTATAACATCCTGGCCCAAACTATACACCAAAATAAACAATTTGGCCAGATCCGACTTTTGACCGTTAACTTGGACGGTCAAACGCGTTGACCGTTAGTCAACGCGCCATGTCACTGCCGAGTCAGCATAAAATATTTAAAATAATTCACATTTTCCACACATTCCCTAATTTTAAATTATTATAAATTAAAAAAATCATCTAATAGACTAATACCTTAGTTAAACCAAAAATAAAAAACGGAAAAAATTAAATATTTATTAGATCTTCTGACTTGGTAGTGACGTGGCAGTGACGTGGCGCGTTGACCGTTAGTCAACGCGTTTGACCGTCCAAGTTAACGGTCAAACATCGGGTTTGGCCAAATTGTTTATTTTGGTGTATAGTTCGGGCCAGGATGTTATAGATCGAAAAGATTGGCCAGGATGTTTATTTTGGTCAAAGTTCAGGCCATACGAAAATATTAACCCATTTTTTTCCCATGTTTCGGAAATCTTCATTGCTTGCTAGTCATTCTCTCTAACCTCCATCTTACCATTGCTTACCAGTCGTCCAATTCTATTAAATGCATCTTACGTGACAATCAACTATACCCATTGATAGTAAGATTGATGATATGGAGATGAAGAAATCTATAAAAAAAAACATTTTTTTTCTTCTACAATGGATGTAGATTGGCGATAAAAATAGGAAAAGGCTCAAGGGTTTTGTCAGATTATCATGGCTCGATTCCTCGACGATTTAATGGTTGGAGCAAGTGTTTGATACTGATAATGTACCTGATGATTGTGAGCTCACCGAGGTATAAAGATTTATCCACTTCCGAAGACATATTACTCTAACACAGTCAAATGAACTCTATGGGTATAAAGCTTCATCCACTTTAGAGGGGGGAAAATTTGAATGATTTTTTTTTAATTTACACATTATTAATTTAACGATAAACTGGTATAGTTGAATGCCACATAGGATGGACTTAATAGAACTATACGACTGATGACCAATGATAAAGAGAAATTTAAAGTGAATGTAACTAACAAGTAAGGACATTTTTTTACAAACAAAACCTATTAAAAAATTATAATTTGAGTGGCCAAATGTGTAATTTATCACAATTAATACTAAGAGTACAAACTACTACTACCCAAAAATACTAAATCCCCCACTGGGCGCCCAAGGTGGAAAGAATGCAGCGCACATGGTGGAAGGGACAGGAAATGGTTCACCACTTGGTAGGGAAGATCGTGCGCCGAACGAATCCTGCCACTTTTTTAATTACAAATTTTAAATTTTAACATATGTGAAATGACATTGACTACATTCATAAAATCTTGTAAGTTTTCAATCATTACATTAAAAGTATTATTACGATTAATGGAGAGTGGCCACCTGCAAAAGAATATTGTACTTTGTTAGAAACCGACGGGTTGGGTCGGTTGGGTGAGGGGTGACAATTTTTTTATTTTAATTATTCCAGTTAGTATTTAAGAGGAGAGAACATTATTTTTTAGATCAGTTAATAATCAATATTTCAACCTAAATTCTCAATTCTCTCTCTCTCTCTCTCTCTCTCGTTCTTCCCCAATCTCTCTCAAATCCCTAATTTCTTCTCTACTCAATCCCTAATTTCCTTGTGGAACTTCTTTGTTTCTAACATCTGGTATCAGAGTTCGGTTCCGACAGGCGAGTTTCTCATAACTCTCTCAGGGACAGCTTCCTGCCAGGTGAATTACTGATAAGTTCAACAGAGAAATCGGAGCAGACGTGGGCTTAGAAACAAGAAAAGATGATGCAAATCGTGGGTTATTGGAGGGAGCAGCGTCGCCGCGGCGGGGGAGGAGGACGAGGGCACAGCCGAGATGACGCTGGCGCCGTCCGACGGGGCTGGCCGAGGCAAGAAGGAGACCGCGAAGGAGCGCGCGCTGTGCGGCGCCGTGGCGGAGGAGGAAGACGACGACGCAGCAGGGGTGGAGCTAGCGCCGTCCGACGGGGCTGGCCAAGGCCAGAAGGAGGCCGCGCGGGGTACTTCGGCGGGCAAGAAAGCGGACGACAACTCTGGGGACAGGTCGGGAGCACTCGCGGAGGGAGTCGAGGCGGCCGCAATCTCCTTGCACTCCGTAGCGGGGATCTCGTCGCTCGGAACCCTGCGGTTTCGCACGGATGTGGCCGAGCAGCATGGCCTCATCCTCGTCGACAGTGGGGCGTCGCTGAATTTTGTAAGGGAAGACTTTGCTAAAACCCTGCAGGCTACGACGAGCACGACGCAACCAGTGGTAGTCAGAGTGGCTAGTGGCGCACCGATGCGGTATGTAGGGGTGTACCGAGATCTGACTCTGGTTATTCAAGGTCTCGAATAACCACTGACCTCTATGTACTGCCCCTGCGAGGGTTCGATATCATTCTCGGAATACCATAGTTGCAGAGTTTGGGATCGATAACCAGTGATTGGAGGAGTCTGGCGATGTGTTTCAAGTGGAGGGACAAGGAATGGAGGTTGAGAGGCCTGACCACGGCCACAGGACCTGTCGAGCTAAAGGAGTGCACGAGCGATGGGGACACCGAGCTCGTAGTCCTGTGTTGGCCACTAGCCGCGGCAGGGGAGTCGGGTATTGATGGGGAAATACCAGAGCTGCTGGATCAGTATCCCGAACTGTTCTAGGCGCCGACCACGCTACCACCCCACCGGCAGGTGGATCATCATATTTGCTTGAAGGAAGGAGTGGAAGCGGTGAATGTGAGACCGTACCGGTATGGGCACTCTCAAAAGGGGGAGATCGAGAAGCAGGTGGCGGAGATGCTCGCCACCGGACTGATTCGACCTAGTACTAGCCATTTCTCTTCTCCGGTACTGATGGTTAAGAAGAAGGACGGGACTTGCAGGTTCTGCACAGACTATCGAGCCCTCAACCAAGCTACAGTGAAGGATCAATTTCCGATACCGATAGTGGATGACATGCTCGACGAACTGCATGGGTCGAGCTACTTCACCATGTTAGACTTGAGAGCTGGATACCATCAGATCAGGATGCAGGAGGAGGATGTACCCAAGACGGCATTCCGCACCCACAATGGCCATTATGAGAACTTGGTCATGCCATTCGGGCTGTGCAATGCCCGCTCTACCTTCCAGGCAGCCATGAATGACATTTTTCGGTCACTCTTGAGACGGTAAGTCTTGGTATTTTTTGATGATATACTGGTGTATAGTCCAACTTGGGAGGACCATTTGAGACATTTGCAGGAGGTGTTCGAGATTTCGCGGAAACACCAGTATTATGTCAAGGCCTCCAAGTGTGCGTTTGGAGTGCAGAAGGTGGATTATCTAGGTCACGTGGTGACACCGCAGGGGGTACAGGTGGACCAGGCTAAGATTCCAACCGTGGTGGACTGGCCTGTACC